TAATACCAGTGATTTAACATATCTAACATTTGTTATTAATTACAAGTCTACAAATTGGCTGAGCACTCATGTTGGTTTGGGCTTGACTTAACAGGTTTTAGATGGGCATGTTCATGCATCCTTGGTTACCTGGCCAATCATCAGGAGGCTGGCTGGTCAAGGATGGCTTGAGCTGGTATGACTCACCTCCAGTCCACATGATCCCTCGTCCTCTAGCAGGACAGCCTGTGTTCATTCTGATGGCAACTGTAGGGGTTGAAGGGAGGAAAGAAAACTCCAGTGTACAAGAACATTTCAAGCCTCTGGGTGTGGTGCATGTCCTAATATTTCATTGCCCAAAGCAAGTCTGATGGTGAGTTTGAATTCAGAATAGGAGGAAACAAGAAATGTACAAGGGAAAAGCCATGGTTAGTACTCTCATATGTCACAAATATCTCTTGGCTTCAATTTGAATCATGGTGAATAGAATTGTAAAAGCGGTTATGTTAGAGCTAAGAAGAACCATACTAACCTAGGCTCTTTGATGGCTCACAATTCCAGAATTAGCCTAAGACTCAATTCAGAATATTGGAAGCCCCTTCTACAATTTTGATTAAGCTTAAAGAATGCAGCACTGAAGGGATATCAGGATATGCCACCCCAAAATTTGCCACTTCAGCGTAAGAATTATTTTAAGATGAAGACATCTGAAATTCAACAGCTGCAGAAAAAAGGCTTCCTGGAGCTTCCCTTATCTGAATAAAAGCAGAAATTTCTAGGAAATCAGATTACCACAAATCCCCCCTTCAAGGTAAGTCTGATCCCAGGGAAAAGACCAAGAATAAGCCCCCCATAACCCCCTCTCCCAGGGAGTTTATGACAGAAAGATCACCAATACCAACATAGGCAAATATTGCAAATTTTTAAAACTCTCATGTCTCTCATTTGTCTTTCTTAAAAAAAAAAAAAAACAAACCCTCATTTGTTTTTCCAAAAACCAAGAACAGAAGCCTATTTGTCCTTCCCATAGAAGCCCTTTCTCCCCTCTCTCTTTCCCCTGTTAAATATATAGGTCACATCATTTTAAGTTACTAATGACTGAGTACTCCTGCATGTAACTGCATTGCATGTGTAAATTTCTTCTCCTCTTAATCTGTCTTTTGTCAACTTAATTTACAGGACTTGGTCAACCACCATATAAGATGAGAGGAAGTTTTTCCTCTCATACAGTACCATCCCTATGAACTACCCAGTCAGCAAGCACCCTAAGAATATCCTGCCTAAGCGGTTACAGTTGGAGTCATCTGTTGCTTATAGCCAATAGCATCCTACCTAATTGAGTATTAGGTTTGAGTTACCTATTAAACAGCTAAAGAGAGATATCAAGGAAACAAATGAACATGAGTCTACATGTGTGGGAAGAAGTCAGGGTAGAAGATAGGGATTTGAATTCCTAGGCACATAGATTCTATTTAAAGCCACATGACTAGATAACATGCTGGAAGGCATGTAAAAAGAACAGAGATGTGGGTCCAGGACTGAATCTTAGGGGATGCTAATATTTGAAGTTGAACGGGAGAAAAGGACATACCAAAAAAGACTCAGAATGATGATGAAAGTAGGAGAAAAAACCAAGAGAATGTGATGTTATGGAAGCCCGAAGGGGAAAGAAGGAATTTTAGAAGGAAAGAGGAGCTGTATTATGTTGAATACTTGGAGAACTCATTGGATTCTGGATTTAAGAGCTTCCTCTGTTTCAGAACCAGCACCCTTGCCCTCTAGGCTCTAAGTTACTGAACTTTATTTTCCTCTTTCACGTCTCCAGACCATGCTCTCCTTGCCTCCAAGGCTTCACCTGCTTTGCAGCCTCCAAGGCTTCACCTGCTTTGCAGCCTCCACTGAAAACATGCCTCCTTCCACCTCCCCCCTGTAACTCCTGCTGTTCCTGCAGGTCTCAGCCTAGACTCTGGCTTCTCCAGAACTGGCTGAGGGGCCACTTCCATATGCCTCCAAAGAACCCTGAACTTCACCTGTCCTAGTCATCTTGGGCTGCCATAACAGATACTCCAGACTGGGGTGGCTTAAATAACGAATGTTTATTTTCTCACAGTTTTGGGGGCTGTAAGTCTAACATCCAGGTGCCATTACCACTGGTTTCTGATGAGGCCTCTCTCCTTGGCTTTCAGACAGCTGCATTCTTGCTGTCCTCACATGGCCCGCACACAGACAGAATGCTCTTGTGTCTCTTATAAAAACAACAGTCCTAGCGGACCAGGGCCTAACCTTATCATCTCTTTTAACTTTAATTACCTCCCTAAAGGCCTTATCTCAAGTACAGTCACGTTGAGGGTAGGCCTTCAAAATACAAAATTTGCTGGAAACACAGTTCAGTCTGTAACACCCATCAAAGAACTTACTGGGTGATAATTTCTTTATTCCCTATTTGACTGAAATTCTGTGAGGCCAAGTCCAGGCAACGTGTGTATTTTATTTCCTATTATCTTCAGCATGTAACACAGTGCTTAGAGGTGCTAAAAAATTTTATGGACTAAATGAATGTGAACATGAACACAGGATTGGCCCCTGCTCTGCCATCTGGCTAACCCACATAGTTAGCCAAGACTGTACTCTAATTGGGAATTCGCCTCCCAGGAGTGTCCCATTTTCAACGGTCAGTAAAATCTAGCCCAGTTGAAATAAATGGAAGGAAACCCAGTGTGAATTGGTGAGAAAGTATAGAATTTTAGAAGTTTTGGTACTTTCACAGAAGTCCTAAAAAATAATCTGTCATGTCTGTTGCAATCATCCTGAAAATGAGTTTATACTCTCTCTTCCTTTGTTAGCAAATTCTCCTTGCTACATACAGACAGGGCAAAGGTAAACTTTAATCCAGCTTCCAGGGGGGAAAAATGTTGGATTGTTTAAGTCTTTGTTCAGGGTTCCAAACATCCCCACGCTTTAGGAAAGATGAAAATGGATGAGAATAGGGGACTGCAGAGGAGCTCAGAATTGTATTATTTCAAAATTCTATCTTCTGTTGCATAATAATAGCAAAGTAGTGAGTTTGATTTACAGATGTTAGCATATCATCTTTAGGAAGTCAGCAATGGCATATATATTCTCCTTCCTTCCCTGAAGATTACCCACATAGCTTTTTAAAGATATGAAAATGATTTGGAAAATATGGAGAGAAACTGGCTTTTTTTAGGAATTGCATTTCTAGGTTTTCCTAATCTCTCAAGAGTGTTAAGGGAAAAAAATCTTTTAACAAGTTTCCAAATGTTCACTGATGTTAACCCTTCAAGTATGCCTTCCTTTTTCTTTTGTAAAATCGAGTGTATTAGGTAAAGGATGACTTGGGGTGTAAATGCCTAGTTCCAGTTAGAGCAAGAGGCACGCAGCTCCCTGAAGCTTCCAGCTTCCTCTGTGTAGCTGGATTAGGGCTATTATCCCAGCGGTGGCCCCGTGAGGCTCAGTGACATGTGACGAACATGCTGACTTGCAGCCTGTGCTGACACAGACCGTACTAACAATAACACTCAGACACACCCCAGCCCATGCCTCCTTCTAACCCCAGGTGCCGTCAAGTGGGGAAATGAGGCAGCACAGACAACCCCTCTGGCTCTCAGAATCCTTGCAAGGAGCTGATTTCTGAAACAACTGAATAGTATAACAGGGAAAGAAACACTAAACTTATGTAATTACCTCATTTTAGCACAGCTCCAGAGCAGTATTACTTTTGTCCCATTTTGGAACGTGACGTACACGCAGATTTGTGGACGTGTTCTATTATGTCAGTGAATTTTTAATTGGAATATAATTGCTTTGCAATGCGGTGTTAGTTTTTGTCATACAGTGAAGTGAATCAGCCATATGTGTACATATATCCCCTCCCTCTGGGAACTCCCCCCCCGCCCCCGTCCTGCCCTTCTAGAGCGCCCTGTGTTATACGGCAGCTGCCCGCTCGCTATCTGCTTTACACACAGTAGTGTATATATGTCAGTCCTAATCTCCCAATGTGTCCCACCCTCCCCTTCTCCTGCTGTGTCCACATGCTCACTCTCTGCGTCAGCATCTCTATTCCTGCCTTGGAAATAGGTGAGTCCTTGTGATATTATGGAGAGAAAACAACACAGCCCAGAGATGTGAAAGGATTGCTTAGAATCAGCAATTCCGAAAAGGAAAGGGTCCAGTGGCCCCTTGTGGCCTCTTCTTTCAAGTTATTTGATAATGGTCCTCAAGGGGAACCTCCACTGGCAAAGCCACTTGATAACAAATATTTCTTGCTTTGGCCACCAGACAGTTCTCTAAAGTATCTGTAGCCTGCAGGTCCTGAATTGAGGGTTCGATTTTACTGCAATGCAGAGTTTGCTGGTTGGCACGGCGCCATGTTTGAGTGGAGCAAGTGTAAAGGCTTCGGGGGATATGAGTGGAAGGGTTCAATGGATAATGTGTGTTAGTAAGGGCTGTATCTTAAATGCCTGGCAGTTCTTGGCAAAGTCCAAGCTGGCCCTGTAAAAGGATTTTGGGCCTTTCTCCAGCACAGAGTCAGAGACAGCAAGATGCACCCTCTGGTCCTGGCTGTAACCCATGAGTGGAATTGCCTTTCTTGCCCTAATGGGATAAGGGAGACCTCAGCGCTCCTCAGGCACCCACGGGCTGCCTGGATAACCTCTACACATGTGTACACACATGCACACACACACACGCACGCACGCACACACGCACACACACACACACACACACACACACTGGTAAATACAATAATCCCGGCTCTCCTCTGGCCTGAGATCCTCTCCCTTCTCAGTGGTTGAAGGAAGGGCCCACAGGTTGAAAGGATTATGAAGCTTAATATTATTTTGTGCGTACCTGATAAGTAAGAATTCTCTGGAAAGAAGCCTGCTCAGTTAGCTGTCCCTTCTGGAAAATAGAAAATTGATCTTCAGCTAGACTGCATTTGCAACGCCCCTAGGATTAACTTGTTTTCCTGTTTCACTCCTTTGCGCCTCAGTTTCTTCATCATGGATTGGGACTACAGTGACCGGTTCTTGGGCTTGTTGAGAAGAAACAATTATGTGATAGTGCTTTGTAGACTGGAAGAAAAGTAAGCATCATTAATCAGATTCATAGATCAACACTTAAATTTGCATAAATATAAGAAAGGGATTCTGGGAACATTCTTCTTAGCCATTTTCTAGCTGTCTAAACTTTAGCAAGTTAATGAACTTCTCAGTCTTAACTTTTGCACCTATAAAATTGGGGAAACAATATCTGTTCTTAGGAAGCTGTTACAAGAATTAAAAACACACCCTCCTTTCACTGAGTGTGATGTCTGACACAGAGTGGATGCTTTTTAAATGGTAGTTAATCCAGAAGACACCTGTATAGATGGAATAGCACTCCCTTGTCTAACTTTCTGAAGTGCTCTTTCTTGCTCAGGAATTGAATCCCTACCTCAATTACTGTCTTGAGTGTGCCGGGGTATGGCTAATGAGAATGAAGTCTGGGGCATGAAAATAAATAATTCATGGACTGCACTTTGAACACTTGCTTGAATTTCTATGAGAGTTAGTATTTCAATTTCCTCGACTGAAAAGATGAAGGCACTAAGAAACTGAAAACAAAACAAACCAAATCAACTAATCAACCTTCCTCGTACACAGTTTGGAAAATTTTCTATCAAGTTAGCCAGGGGTTGGGGTCTTTATTGACTCATAGGAGAAAGGGAAAATGCATATATATTAAGGCCTACTAAATAATAAGCCATGACTTTCAAACTTTTAAATTTAATAAAGAAAAAAAATACCCTAAAGCCTTCCAAGAAATAAGATAGCTTTCAGAGCCATATTGGGGTCTATTAAGAGAAAAAAGAGAGAGAAACGTTAGATAGAACTGGGCAATATAGAGGTGAAGAGTCTTCCATTAGGTTAAAGAAAATCCCATTATAAGACCTTGTAGAATACAGCCATTGGCACACATTTGCAAACACAATCTTCTCTGAGGGTAACTTCTCTTGTCACTCTTGTCACAGCAATAACTTGAGACAGAAGTTTCCCTGGGTCCCCAGATTCTTAGATGCAAGGACTCATGTACACATCCACTACCACTGAGGACCCAGATGAAGCTCATAGGTCCTGGAACCAGAGTCAGCCATGGCTGGGCTGGCACTGGATTCAATTCTATCCTCCAAAGCAATAAGGAGCCAGTTTTAAGGGGAAATAGTGTAAACCGGAGAGAGCAGGAATTAGGGTTGCAATGAATTGGAAAAGACCTCTCCATCTCCTACAGTCAGAGTTGTGTTCTCTCTCATACACACACACACACACACACACACATACACACACACTACAAGGTGATGCCTACTCACTCTGGCCAGGGTAGTCTCTATTTAGCTGCCATTTTTGTAAACCTGGGTAATGTGGCTGCAGGAACCAAATTTTCATTGGTCAATTGGTCATCAGCTATAACTTTATGTCATGGTGGGGTGCTGCCAAATTTTGTCCAGGAACCTAGTGACCTGACACAATTCAGGAGTTTCTATTTTGACAACCCTGAATAGCGCTTTCTCATTTGTCACTCTGCAAACAATACATTGAGACCGAAAACACTGCAGAGACTGCAAAGGGATCCCCCCTCCCACACCACCCTGATCACTCTGAACCCTGTGGGGAGAACGGCTCTGAAACCATTCTGTTTGGAAGTAATGTTGCTCTCCAAGGTCTGCTCACAGAGGACTCCGAAAGAGGAAGAAGTGAGACAATATATTTGGCGCAGTTGTAAAAGACAAAACAATCACACATGTAGAACACTGGAGTTACTGCCAACTAAGGGCCGATATCACCTGCGGAATGGTTGGTCTTTTGGTTTCAGGTGCTCCTTGGGACACACACACCCACCTTGCCCCCAGAAAGATAGTGCCAATTGGATTTTCTCACGTTAACCCTGCATTACTTTGAGTTTCTCTCTTTCCTGGTTTGGGTACTACTGGTGTTGCTGTAATAATTTCCTATCTTTCAGTTTTTGTACTTGCATCATCCTTACTGAATTATACGGCTGGGGGGAGAAATATCTCTGGTTAGTTAGGAAAATCAGTAGCTTTCTTTGTTCTAATTTGATACATTTGGGGCTTGGTATCTTTCATTTAGATTCACTTGGCTCAGTTTATCCTGGGCAAACCTAACCCAGTAAGGGGCTATATCCTTAGGTGTGCTCATCTGTGTTCCTCACTGTCATCCTCTTTGCATCTACTTCTCAAGGTAGCAATTTTCTTTGGCATCTGCCCGCCAAGGTCTTCTGGTCCTGGTAAGATCTCGAGCTTGCCTCAACAACTGCCGAGTAGACGCCCTCAATGATCACGAAGCATCGACCCCAGGCTCCAATCGCCGCAACATCCATGTTAAGCATCAGTATCTCTCTGTGTCCCATTGTTCCATTTCTACTTCCCAGGAGGAACTACCTCAGGATGTGGGGCAGGAAACACTAGTTTCTAGGCAAACTGCCAAGAGAAGTGCTTAAGGAACTGACCCGTTTCAAAAACTTCCTTCTTTCTAATTACTGCTGCCTCTGCAGGAAAATTCCCTTTGAGCCTTCAGGTCCTTTTCATGGCTTTTGCCTCCCTTTGGACAGACAACAGATAGCAGCTTCAGCCTCATTTAGGGCACCCACGAGTGCAAGGAGACAGAGAAGAGACAGAAGACGGACGTGACAGGTGATGAAAACACCTCCCTTTCTGCCAACGCTGTGCTTTCTTTCCACCTGCTGGGTCTCTGTTCGGTCTCCTGGGTACCGGGGCCGTGTGGGGTACCTGTACACAGCAGGCCCAGAGGGGCCAGAACCCTTCCAAACAGCAGGAATAAAGCAGATAGAGCTTGTTACTTTGAGGAGCAAAAAGTGAAAATGAGTGTTTTGTGGCATTTACGTGTCCCTCTACAGAGGTCCAGCTAATTGTATACATCCTCTCCTTCAGTCTCTTTCTGGATGTCCTCTTATAAAAAATGGCAGCAACCATCCAATGGTCCCATCACTATCACCAGGAAAATAAAACCATGGAAATTCATGGACACAAAATCGATTATCAAGTAAAAATTAAGAGTACAGCTAACATTCTTCTAGTCACTTGGCAGATATCAGAAAGGGTATCTCCTGGGCTCTCGCCCGAAATTTAGATTGATAAACCTGTCAAAAAGGAAGAGAAAGATGGGTGACTAACTTGATTCAGGGGACAAAGAAGGTACATTTCTTGCATTAAATAGATTTACCTTCCAGTCTTCCATGTGGGAAGAATAATATTTGCTTTTCTTTCATTTTTCAGCCACTTGTGACAAGTACACAGTCTCAAATTCCCATGATTGGATTAAATCACTATAAATAGACCGTGGAAAATTCACTCTGACTTTTAGACCCTGGCACTTAGAGGCAGGAATTTCCCCTCTCCTTCCTGATATTTTTTTTAAAAAAATCCTTGCTATGCTTTTTTGGTTTGTAGTTAGTTTCTTTTTTACATGATTTCCATACCAAGTGATGAAAAGTCTGCAGGAGAAGGAAGAATGCAGAATTGTGTACAGTTCATCAAGGTGAACAGAAGCCCTGGGATGAATGCTTGTGTGTGATCCTCAACCTAAGCAGTGATTCCAGGCACCCAGTGAGCAGCAAACACAAATTTGATCTGAGAAAATCCTATTCTAACAATTGGTCTATTTAAATTCATGTACCGTGTGCTTAGTTGTGCTTAGATCATATACCTATTCAAGTCACAAATAAATAAATATGTAATGCTCAGCAGATAAGCCAAGACTTCAGATTCTATAGCCCTTCCCCTCTCAAAGAAGATAGCTGTGGGCTTGTTGGAAGGATGACTTGCCTTCAGTTATGCAGATTGTTACTTGGATGCATGGTTCCTATGCGAAAGAATAAAATAAGAGTACCAGTTCATTGTCACCTGGTTTTAATGGGCCTCAATCTAACTTTAAGGGAAGAATGGGATCCACAAGAGACACAATTATTAGTCCAGAATCCATACCCTGAAACTTGAATTTTAATTAAAGAAGACTATGCCATTTCACTAAATTGGTAATAAGTATTGTTTTTTTTTAAAGAACTAAATATTCACTGCTTCCATTTAGTAATCTTAGTTTAAGAAACTCTGCAGTTGACATTCATATGTATGGGCCACGTGTAGAGATAGAGTTTCATTTCATTCTTCCCCAAGGCCTCACTGTGAGCATTTATTCCTTCTTATTATTTGGAATTAAGTTTTCAATAGTTATATGCTGGATTGTAAACTCCCTGTGACCAAAATACAATTCACATTATATAATCTAGAGGTGTCTATTGTTTATGATGATGATTGGAATGTATTCAATATCCTACCAGTTATGAAGAGTTCTACAAGAGCTGCTGTGATATGGTTTTAAATTTCCAGAAGACTTTCTTTTAATTTCAGCAAATATTAGTAGAACAATCATCAAAGCCAGAGAGTGGGATAAACCTTGGACTCAGCAATAAAAATAGGAAAGCATTTCATGGGGATGATAAGAAGTAAGTCCTACAGGTTGTTTAGAGCAAAAGGCCAAAGGCTAGTTCCAAGAAAATGTGAGTGGAATTTCACAGTGAAGCTAAATTACAAGGTAAACTCCAGGATGGAATATATAAATTATTTTTTTGTGTCTGAAATGAAGGTGAGCAAAAGGTGAGAGTGGACATCAGTTACTATTCTTCTGTAGGGGAGCCCAGGATGAGGAAGGAAGTGTTTATATGCAAAGATGGAAGAAAACCCACTGCAGACTCTCTGATACCCAAAAGCCTCGGAGATGGTAATCGGAACAATTGCGCCACTCCAACACCACCAGACCTATGAGCAGAGATGTCTGCCTCCAGGGTCCACTGATGTTATAGCTTGCAATGCCTGTGACTCTAAATACAGACTGCCCTTTGACTGGTACGTTCAGATAGGGCCCACCCAAGACTCACCAGTGTATAGCAGATGCAAGGGCTAATAAACCTACATGAACTGAATTATCTGTTATCTCTAATCTGTTCTATGACTCCAAGTGACTTGAAGAAACTGGGCAGTAGATTCTCTTGGTAATTTGGCTGAAAAAGAACAAGCTAAGCAAAATAAATAATGACCTCCCTTTCAGAAACTTTTTAAAGTATTCACTTCAAAGACACCAAAGGATCCGTTCCCCACTCCCTCTCATTCCTACTCCAACCAGAGGGATTGCCTGTCTTCAGAAATAACCCTGAAGGAGTGGTTGGGAAATGAACAGGAGGCTTCCATTGCAGGGCAGGGCTCTCATACTCCCCAAGGTTTGGAAAGTCTTAGTTACTCAAAGCTTTTCATAAATCTTGCATGTCTTATTCCTGCCGAAGTGTTCCCTCTTGAAGCCTTCTACTGTACCTCAGTAATGAAGAGTCTTTATCCCACATTCATTCCTGTCATCCTTACTAGGTTCCAACTTTCAAGTCTCACTTAGTATTTCATCCCAATGACAGCTTCTTAGGAATTGAACTTTGTCAAATTTACTTGTACAGAAATATCAACATTGCCAGACATTTAAAAAGATGTTCAAATAGGTCTAACCTTTAACAAAATACAGTCACCTTTACCTGGAAAACAAGAAATAAATACTTTTAGCTGAAACTTTGTCAGCTGGAGCTTCTCAAATTTTGTAATGGAAAAATTTTATCTGTAAACCCAATATAAGGGTTTTAAACTAATTTTGAATGTTTATTTTTTAAATTTTATTATTGGAGTAAAATTGCTTTACAATATTATGTTAATTTCTTCTGTACAACAAAGTGAATTAGCTATATGAATACATATATCTCCTCCATCTTGAGCCTCTCTCCCACCCACATCCCACCCCTCTAGGTCATCACAGAGTACAGAACTGAGCTATCTATTTTACACATGGTAGTGTGTATATTTCTAAAAAGAATTAGTGTTAATGCTAGAATAGATATTAAAAAATTAAATAATTCTGCATTTCTTAGGTGAGTAAACTGAGGCATAAAGAGGGTAAGGGAACTGCTTAGAGAAATTATGTTTCCAAATTCCTTTTGTAGTAGTATTTATTAAAAATAGAAATAATATTATCTAATAAAAATAGAAAACCCCAAGCCCTACATATACTCTCTCAATAAGCCTGTGACTCTTGTGTGAGGCTCATCACAGTGTGAAAACCACACCATAAGCAGGGATCTTTTTCACTGAAGAGGCTTATTCCTCTCCCTAGTTTAGGTCTGACAGCTGGTGGAGTGGGCAGAGGCTGCCCACAAACGGTCACCAGGTGGGATCTTCATGCTGCATAAAGAGAACTTGTTGACCTAAGAGAAGTATTCATATTAAATCAACCCTTCCTGGAAAATTCCACTTTAATATGTGAATCAGAGAGGGAAACTACGGGCAGGCCCATCTTTAAGTTTAGCAGCTCTTAACCGTGGCTCTGCTTCTAGAAGGAGATGACTGTGGGAGTTATCTAACAAACTTGTTCTTTCTTCCAACAGCTCCTGTGTCAGCCATTGGGATTTTCTAATTCTTCCAGAATTGGCATTGGAGGGATGGAGGGGTGGGACAGGCTCCAGGGAGGAGATAGGAGGCAAAAGTGTTGAGCATGACTTTGCTCTGGGAACACTGAACAGACGGGGCAAGCAAGGGTGCTGTCGTGGCCACCCCTCCCCGACTCCCCAGCTCTCAATACCCAGCAGGAACTCTGGGCTTCCTGAGTCAATACCCTGCATCCAGAGAAATTCCCTGGGAGGCACCCCACCCCCAGTTACCTCCATTTTCCTTTCATTTCCAACAACTCCACAGCAGTTAAGAGAAGGCTTTCATTGCAAAGGTGGAAGATAAGATCTTGAAATATAAATCCTTGTGTTTTTCTTTCTGTTCAGCCTTTCCTGACCTTTCCTCTACTAGGCAGAAGCATCTACTTTGCCTGCAGAAGAATTAAGAGTTGTTATGACTGGAAATCTGAGAGTCAGGAAAGGTTATTTTTCAGAATTTTTCTTTCCACTCAAGGCATATCAGAGAATTAATGCTAAAATGAAGACGTGCAGAACCAGGAGGCCTGGGGCCTGACCAGCTCCTGTCAACACCACTCGTCCCTGTTCCTCTCACTGGCTTTTCTCTCCACAGCTGGGCAGGAGCCTCCCATGGCCTGTGCCCGCACATCACCCCAGGTGACCCTCTGGTGACCGAAGAAATTGCCGAGCCCACTGAATTGCCCTTTGTCAATGGTCCAACACTAAGAAAAGTGGAGACCTGGACCCTCAGAGCGTGGTGATAGTGAGGGGAAAGACTCAGCAGTAGTCTGTGGGTGGGGCTGGGGCTGGGGGTAGAGGACTTTACCCTGTAACACGGTGAGCAGTGGTGTTTCTGGAAGGACAGTGTATTTTTTAATTGAAGTATAGTTGGTTTATAATATTGTATCAGTTTCAGGAGTACAGCTTAAGGCGTCAGTATTTTTACAGATTATATTCCATTAAAAGTTATTACTAGATAATGGCAATAATTCCCTGCACTATACAATATATCCGTGTCGTTTCTCTATTTCATACATAGTCGTTTGCAATTCTTAATCCTACATCCCTCCCGGCCCCTCCCTGACCCCTCCCCTTTGGTCGCCACTAATTTGTTTTCTGTATCTGTCAGTCTGTTTCTGCTTTGCATATACACTCATTACTATTATTTTTTAGACTCTGTATATAAGTGATATCGTACAGTATTTGTCTTTGACGTATCTCACTATTTGTTGCTGCAAGTAGCAGAATTTCACTTTTTTTTTTTTTTTGGAGGAGTAACAGTTCGTTACATAGATGTACCATATCTTCTTTATCCATTCACCTGTTGATGAACGCTCAAGTTGCTTCCATATCTTGGCTATTGTAAATACTGCTGTTATGAAGGCTGGGTTGCATGTATACTTTCAAATTAGTGTTTTTGCTTTTTTGGGGACATATACTCAGGAGTGAAAATGCTAGATATTAGGGTAGTTCTATTTTCAGTTTTTTGAGTCATCTCCGTAGTGTTTTCCACAGTGGCTGCACAAGTTTACATTTCCACCAACAGAGTGCAAGGATCTTTTGAAGCAATTTTTAAAAATTTCTGATGCCAGCCTTTCCAAATACCTGAGGATCCTGTGGGACGCTTGCTTAGTGGACTGTGACCCAGGGGTGCTGGTGGTATTTATGACTGGTTTCTTTTGATTAGTCTGTGCCCAGCCAGTGCTGCATACTTTCAAAACATTATTTTGTTCCATCTTTACAACAAGCCAGTAGAGAAAGTGTTACATTATTAATGAAGAAACAGACTTTAGTGCTTCTGTCCTTAAACACTGGACCACACCACCTTTAATAGGACTAGATGATAGACAGTAAGGATAATACATTTCCTCAAATCTTCTACTTCCTAAAATATATCTAGCTTTTATGATAGATTCTATTTTAGATAAACCTAGGAAACAACATTTTTAATTGGAACTTGAAAGCTTTCCTGCTAAGCAAAATAAAATTTTACTTACCTGGATATTTTAAGACCCAGCTCCTAAGTTGGCTATTATGTTAACTCATCTAAATTTGTACAAGGAAGGGTTTCCCTTGGTTGCTCAAATGAAAGAATAAGAATCAAAAATGATTTTAAAGGACCCAGTCAAAGACCTTAAGTCTTAGGCTCCCTTTTGGGCCATAGAGGTCCAGTCACCTCTCCCCAAGCACCCCATTCAGGAACCCCGAAGGGCAGTAAGGTTTTGGAGAGCTTTGCCAATGGGAAGAGAGTAGCAAAAGAGACAGTTCCTTTATTAATATTCAAGTCCTATCCTTTCTAGGAGAATTTGCTGGAGAATTCCCTCTACAGATCAGAAATAAAAAGGGCCATTCTCCTTGTGACCCCTCCACTTCTCCACAGTTCAGTGCCACAGAAGGAAAGGTAAATAAACTGACTGGTCTCAAGGCTAATTTTAGGAAGATTGGAGTATTTAGGTCCCTCAATTAGGTCCCTCAAATTAGGTCCCTCAATCCATTTTTTCCCTGTATATGTAAAGCAATATATTTCTGCACTATTTAAGAGAAAAGAAAATTAGTGTGAGCTGCCAACAGCTGTCTGACAACCTTGAGCATTGGGTATGTTGGCACTGGTCCAGATTTCACATACGGAGTTCATTTTGGGTTAGTCAGAAAAGGGAAGGAGTTGGCCCAGATCCTGCCCCACAAATTCAGGACCAAGGAGCTGAGCAGAAATTGCTGGAGGGTGACTCTGCTGGCCCATTTGCCAAGCCTGTTTGATATCCACTTGCTTCTCTACCTGATACAAGAACAATTGTTAGCTGTCTGGGTTCTCCTCTGAGAAGCCAGTGATTCAGTGTAGCAATTAAACCAAGTGAAGATTAATTTTCTTTTCTCTGTATCCCTTTTATAAAGATGTATTATCTCTACAGGCTTCAGATTTTTTAAGCTCCTTTTTCTTCCTGTTCATGAATTCTCCTCACCCTCACTTTGACTTTAGCTTATTAGACTGAGGCTGAGTTCACTAGCATAATAAAGAACTTAATATTTGTTGAAGAATGAAATCCTCTTATTTTTCTAATCTGTGACTCACTATTTCAGGGCAATAAACATTTCATGTTTCAAAATGGTAATAGTCATTTTTATGTTCAAAGTAACAAGCAATCAATGTAAGAAAAAATTAGACAATGCAGAAAGGGATTTTAAAAAAGAAAGTAAAAAAAAAATAGTCTTGCCACTAGAGAAAACTGACTACCATTAAAACTGAAATCTATGACTTTAGTCTTTTTCATTTTCTTTTTTTTTTAATAAACTGTATCTGATTTCTTTTCTTCATTTATTATAGACATTGTTATTTGGGAATAACAGAGATCAATGTCACTGTTTTTAAGAGGTGCATAGTACTACGAAGTATAAATGTTCCTTAACATATGTTAATAGACATTTTTGCTAATATAAATAGTGTTGCAATGAACTCCCTGTACATACATCCTTTCCCACTTGTCTAGTTATTTCTTTATGATAAGTTCCTATATACATTTTTTCAAGGCCTTTGATACATATTGTCAAATTCCCCCTTCCCCCAGAAAACTTGTACTAATTTACTATCTCAGTAAGGTCATAAGGGTGCACTTTTTTCCCTCATGCTCTCACAAACACTTTTTAAACATTTTGCCCACTTGAGAGAAAAAAATCTGTGCCTCTATATTGTTTTATTTTCCTCTGACTATTAACCAAGCTGAATATGTTTTCATATGCCAATAATTACATATTTATAATTGTTCTCTTGTGCCCATTCTCCTATTGGGATATTTATATTTTCCTTCCAGACTTGTAGAAACTCATTACATACAAAGACAACATTTTCTAGACTGTATTTCAGAGAATTTCATTGCCCTTTGAGATATTAATAGGTGTACTGAGGGGAGGAAAAAGACTTCCCATGGTCAGATTTAACACATCATTTCTTAAACTTAATTGACCATCAAAAATTTTTTTTTATGGAACCCCCATTAGCATCATTCAGGCCATTGGTGTTCTGGGCAAGAACATTTGAAAACTGCTCTGCAAATGATAGTAAAGCGTTATCTGTTACATATGTGGTATGATTTTTGCCCATTGTTTTTTCCCCTTTGTCTTTTACCCTGTGATTGTTTTCTCTACCACTTTTAAACCATTTGTTCAGTTCTCTCAGTATTTTTCTCTAAATTTAGTAATTTAGAAGTAGTGACCCTGAGATCATACTTGTTTGGTTTGAATTCTGGCACCATCATTTGTTTGACCTTGGGAAGACTACTTAACCTGTCTGTGTCTCAATTTGATCATCTAGCAAATGGTAAGAATAAATGGTAAAAAATATACATAGTTGTTTTGAGGATTCAATTACTTAACATAGATAAAGCACTAGAATTGTGTTTGTCACAGAGTCTCAGATGATGACAATAATGATGATGATGATAATGGGCTCCTTTTCGCATGATAAAGTCTTTCTCCACATCTAGTTGTAAAAAAAAAAAAAAGTTACTCATATTTCCTTCTGTGTTTTATGGAAATTAATTTTGGTATTATCTGTAAAGCAGAGTCTACTTCTCCCCTGTGGTTAGTCAGGCTTTTTCGACACCATTTATTGATTGATGCTCCCTCTATTATATACTATTGCTTTTTTTTCTGGACTTTTCTGCTCAGTCTGTTCTAACACCAAAACTTCTTTCCTATTGTTTTCCAGAAAAATCACAGCTCTGCTTGCCTGAATAAAGAGCACATGTTGGATTCCCTCTTAAAGTGGCCCCAGGAGACGCTTGGTTGAGAAGAGGGACTTTGAAAGTGGGATCTGGTTAGCTATGATGCAGACAGGAAATATAGATATCACAGACTTTCCATTTTAACCCGTACTGTGCCTGTTGGTTCCCACATCCAGCCGAGGGCCAGCTGTGGCTATAGCCTGCAGAGTTCCTCAGGAATATTTGTTCACTGTATCACAGAAAAAGTAATATCCCCAGACTCCATCTGGTTGCTATCTTTTCTGATGCATCCACCAAACAACTTGTATAGAAAGCTGTGAGGCGGGAGGGATACTAACTTGGCCCCTCCCAGACTGTGGGAGGAGAGACAGGTTGTCAGAGCTCAGAAGAGGATGTGGCACTGTGAGGCTTCATAGAGGTGGGACCAGAGCCCCTTTGAGGACATGTCATTCAGAGCTGAGGGAAGCCGGAGTGTTCACAACCCTCTCCTCTCTGCACCCCATTACCTCCTGTTCCCAACAGCCTCTTTGCTATTCCTCAAACATGGTTCCCCCATGGGCCATTTGTACCTGCTGATCCTCTGGACTGTTCTTCCCCCAATGCCCACACGGCTTGTTCCCAGGTCAGTTTAAGGCCTTGGCTCAAATGTCAACTTGTTGGTGAGACTATCCCTGACTGTTCTACTTGAGGTTGTGCTAGCCCTCCCTACCCCATCTCTGCTTCATTTTTCTGCATAGCACCAATTGTCTGACAAGCTGTTCTACTTTTTATTAATTGTCTGTCTCCCCGCCTTAGACTATGAATTTCCTAAGAGTCTATATTGTTTTGTCCCAACACCTAGAATAGTGCCCAGTATGTATCTGAGGACTCTGCAGTTGTCCGCAGATGAACGAACAAGTGAGTGGCCCAGCCAGACAGCATCACTCGCCTGAGACTTTGGGATGTGTCTAGACCTGTTAACAACAGCATGATTCCTCACAAAGCAATTGCCTGAGGGACTCTGGATTTTCAAACTAGTCTCTGCAAACAAGTCATTTCTAAAG